CCCTGGAGGGTGGCGGAGACGCACAGGCAAGCACCAGGCTGATTTCCCCGTCCATAAATGCCAGCCCAGGCTGGTGGCCATGCTAATGACGAGCTCGTTCCCAAACTGGCATTGCTGGTCTGCGGCCCACAGGAATGACAGGGCGTCTGCCCCGCTGCCCGCCTCGCAGGGCAGGGACAGGACAGGCCGTGCTCGGGCGGCCCAGACGGGCTCGCTGCATGGCCAGCAGCTCAGGGCGCCGCAGGCACATCCCGCTGTGGTGCCTCACGTCCTGCTGACCCTGGCTCCCGCAGCGCGACATGGCCCCTTCACCTGCCGCCGTCCCCGCACCAAGCCCGTGGCCCAGGCACAGGGCAAGCAGGGACGGGAGGGCCCCAGGGCTGGGGGGTGCAGGGGCCAGGGGAGACCCAGGCAGGGCTCAGCAGACCAGGCACCTCTGCGGGTCTGGGGGAGAGGAGGGGGGGGATAAAAACCTTGACTGTGGAGATAACAGGGGTCATCTCGCCCCTGCCCTCCCCCCCCCATCCCCGGTGAACATTAAGCCACAGCCTCTCTGGGCTGGCATCACGCACGCAGCCAGGCCCGAAACAGCATTATTTCCCTTTATGCCCACAAAACCGTCAGGAGGGTTGTGGTGGCTCAGCCTGAGCTCCCCCACCCCAGATCCTGGTGCGTGGTGGGCAGGGAGGGGGCTCACAGAGACCACCGTCTCTGCTTGCCCGGGGTGCTCGCCAGCCTCCAAAATCCGCAGCACAGGGAAGCTCTGAGCCTTCAGCATTGGAGCATCTGAGGTACCTTAATGCATTTTTCCTTTTCGAACTCCTTTGTTGGGGGTTTTGAACCCACACGCCCCTCACCACCCACATAATCACATATTTGAGGTTTGGCTGCCTCAGCTTGTTTTGAACCCGGCACTTGCTGCTGCCTGTCCTTATATTAGAAAATACAGCTCAGGGTGCTTTGCTCCGCTCTCCACACCCATCCCGTCCTACCCGCTGGCATCCCCCCAGCCAGCCAGGAGAGCCCCCAGCCCAGGGCCGGGCTCTGAGCTGGGCAGCAGCAAAGCTGGGGAGAGCGCTGAATGGAAAAGGCATCCGTTAAACAGCATTAAACCTCCGTGCGAACCCTTCACACGCAATTAAAGCAGCATAAATTCAACATGACTTGATTCACCGCTGAATTGAATTAAGAGCACTTGAAATTTGGAATAAGACTCTCTCCTGGGGATTTAATGTGGTTTCACTAATACACATTAGGAGATAATGTGGGTTCATCTTCCTGAGGGTCCCTGCCCAGCCAGGTCCCCGCTCCTGGGGTGGGTGGGAGGGCTGCTGCCCTGGGGCCTGGCCTCACTAGGTGCTGTCATCCCACAGCAGTGCAACAAAACCCCCAAATTCTTCCTGTTCAACAAATACCTTGGTGTGTCTCAGGGGGTGAGCGGGGAGCAGCCACGCTCGGCTCCCACCCACACGCTGGCGGACGGGGAGCTCCCACAGCCCTTCCCTGCCCAGAGCTGCTGCGGGTCCCCTCCATCCCCAGCCCCCGGAGCCCCGTGATTTCTGCTCCTGTGAACGGGGCAGCGGTGCTGAGCCGCGGGGGCCACGGGGCACGCAGCTGAGCAGCTTTCCCACCTTGCGCCCGCACGGCTTTTGCACCCTGACACGGCCACGCTCGCTCCCTCCCGGTAGAGCGTTTCCCCTCCAGCAGCCACAGCGGAGACCAACTGCACGAGCCTTCCCCCAGCGCTTAATTACATCAAGCAGTAATTACTGTAATTCTTTTCAATTGGCTCTCTAATAAAGTTACAGCTTCAGTGGTGCCCGGACGCCCCCGCCGTGCAGCGCAGCACTGCTGTCCTTAAGTGTCGCTGAGGGTTTCACCTGTGAGGTTTTCCCTGACACAGCAGGTATTTACTTTTTTTTTTTTTTAATTGTGCAGCCACCCACTTGCAATGCCTCGGTGTTGAACAAGCCCGGCGCCCCCCTCGCTGCTTCACTGGGGGCAACACGAGTAGGAGCTGGTGCTGCTCCTGCGCCGGCTCCTTCCGAGGGGGCTTTGGGCTGGCTGGGAGGTGCGGGACTGCCTCTCACCAGCCCCACGAGGTTGGCCTGTCCTCGCTCAGATTTAAAAAGCAGCAGCCACGCCTGATGGCACAGGCTGCCCAGGGAGGGGGTGGAGTCCCCATCCCGGGGTGTGTTCAAGGGCCGTCTGGATGAGATGCTGGGGGATGTGGGGTAGGGGAGAACTTGTAGAGTCGGGCTGAGGGTTGGACTCCACGATCCCCAGGGGCTTTTCCAACCTGAAGGATTCTGGGATTCTGTGGATACAATTGAAACCTCCCAGCTGGGCACACACCCCCCCGCCCGCCGATGGGGCCATGGAGGCGGCAGAGCAGCCCCGGCCCGGGCAGCAGCAGAAGCGGAGGATCGGTGACCACGTGCCCGCTGCTCGCTCCGCAGCCCCGGGATGGGAAACCAGACTTCCCAGGACACTAAATCCTCCCTCTGCTGCGGGGCCCAGGGCTTCGCTTTCCTCCTAGCCCCCGCCGGTGCACTCCCAAACAGAGCAACTAAGTTACACCATTAGCGATTGACCTTGGCGCCCCTCCCCTGCAGCCCCAGGGCAGCTCCGGGAGCAGCAGCAGCTCCCGGCTCTGGGGGTGGGTGCGCCGGGGCTGTTGGCCGCCCACCCCAGCGCTGCCTCCCCGTGGGGCTTCAAACCAGCTTTCAGCAGGTGGAACCGTATTTTAATTTGTTGACTTGATGCTCAAAGTTTGTAGCATAAAATACACTAACATTTATTTAAAAGCTAAATACATATAAATTTGCCTGTAAGTCTTAATTTATGGGTTCATTTTTAACAGACTTACATTTTGAGAGCAGTATATTTTGAAGGGAGCCACTGAACAGCCGATGGAACATAGCCTTTAAGACAATTATTACCAGGAAAAGAAAAAAAACCAAGATCTACACCTTATCTATTTCATTAACCCTTGAATGTCAGAGGAAGGAGCACGTCAGCTTACCCTCCAAGCAGGCATCTGTTTAGATGTTAAAGGCATATGAAAACTAGTATACAATGCAGCTGTTTATTATCTGTACTCAAGAGGCTAAAACGCTTGAAAACATAATAAATTTGGCAAAAATATCCCAAGAACTATTTAGCTTAATTCTGATCAGCATTTTGGTAACACGACAGCAATAACCTTGATATAGTAAATTATAAGCTGATCAAGATAAATAAAATTA